AGCTCTAAGTGGCCCGGTTTCCCCTCTGCCTGTCGCGCCGGGGCTCCTCCTCCTCCTCCCGTGCATCGCGGCCTAAAGTTGCATGCAGCGTGTCCCTTGTTGCCATTCCGCCGGAGCAGTCGCCTGCTGCCCAGCCGCCGACGCAAAAAAATGTGTAGGCAAATTGCTAGCCGACCGAGCGGACTAGTGTTGTCATCCGAGCGGGGTATCCCTCACGCCAGGTTCCCAGCGGCATCAGCGATCTCCCAGTATCCCCTTGGATTCCCAAGGGTGCTCAGCGTTTGCATGGGAATGTGATGTAGCACAACGCATTGCATTGCTTTGGGCAGTGTCCGGATTTGTACATCGCCATTCAACGCATAGCATGAGCGTGGCATAGTATAGCACTACGCTGCATGACATAGATAGACATATATATACACAAACATATATCATATGCTTGCCGGGGGACGCCAAAGATTGAGCACTTGCACGCTGGATGTGTAACATGCAAAGTGCTACTTTTATGACACGCACTACGCGTCATCACTTCCCGTATTGTGGCAAACATCCGACCCACCAAACCGTAATTCCTTGTCAAAACTCACGCAGACCGTGGGTGCAGTTACCCCTCGGCATTTGCTCGCGAGTCTCAAGTGGCGCAGTGGCGCGCGGACACAGATGATTGTTAAACGTGTTGTTCAACATGCACGCGCGTGTGGCCCGCATGCTTCAATTTGACGGAATGGCCAAACAGCGTTTCTGATGATTTTATCGAGTGCGCGCGCGCAGACATCTGACACTTGTTGTTGGAAGAACCAATCGGTGCCTTACTGATGTTGAACAGACATGTTTGGGAATGGCTATAAAGCAATGGCTTTGAGTGGGTTTAACATTCCCGTGCGGCGTCGCGCGAATGTGGTCCGCATTGTATTTTCCGGTGGAAAGAAGAAGAACCAAAAAAAACGTTCATGGTATAAATGCGCGTGCACCGAATTGTCTGCAGTCGGTAACGGGAGGTGTCGATGCTGGCTGGCAAGGGTGATATTATTTGATATGCAGGATGAACCACCATGCATTCATAAATGTATATGTGTATATATGTCGTTGTAAGCACACATAGAGAGAGTGAGAGAGTACAACACCCCGAGAGGGGGCGCGGATCCTGGCACTGGGTGTGATGGAAAGAGAACCGAACCATTGTATCGCTTAGGGCCGCGTCTCTATCCTGCGGAACAGGGGTGCATTTTCTCTGTCGTGCAAGCTGCCTGGCGCAGCCTACGCGGTGCCGTGAACTGCCGCAAGTAAGTGTGGCAGCATTGATTCGGCCACGATGGCACCTGTCGATGCGAATTTCCAAGCGCGTCTCGAAGGCCGCGCCGGCACGCGGGCACTTCAGCGCGTGGCGGTGACTCTCGGGCGGGCGACATATCATGATGACGTCGGCAACGGCGGCAACGATGCTGACAATGGCGATGGTGGTAGCGATGATGACGCTGACTACGGCAAAGCCAATGGCGGCACCGATACCGGTAACGGTGTTGACAGTGATGATATCCGTGTGCCGGTGATGAAGGCAATAATGATGATTTTGATCATGATCATGATCATGATCATGATCATGATGATGATGATGATGATGATGATGGTGATGGTGATGGTGATGGTGATGGTGATGGTGATGGTGATGGTGATGGTGATGGTGATGACGATGATGATGATGATGATGATGATGATGATGATGGTGATGGCGGCAATGGCGGCGATTGACAGTGACGATGACGATCACGGTGCTTGTGCACGAAAGAGTGAGTCCTGTCAAATATTCGGTCGTCTTAACGGGCTAGTTGAAATTGTCACGCGTTGAGGGGCAAGCTCGTGTGTTTTTTCCTTGGGGCGTGTTGCACGTTCGTTTCTGCATATTCCGGGTCCTGATGGGATGTCAACGTGAGTTTTCGGATGCGACAGAGGAGGATGAGGAGGGCAGAGGATTGGTAGGGGACACGGAAGAGTAGCTAGATTGATGAGAGTAGACGTGCTAGCAGGAGGGGGCAAGAGGATGATGGCACGCGAGGCTGCACAGGCACGGGGGACGAGAGGAGCGAACGCCAGGAGCGTGGAGGAGTTGGGGCGGCAGCTAGAGAAAAACCAATGGCACGGTGGCAGCGTGGCAGGTGGAGTGGAGTAGAGCGGAGTGGAGTGGAGTGGAGTGGAGTGGAACCCGCTGCTGATTGCAAGTGATGTACGAGGAGCACCTCGGCATCTTGGAGCTCTGCCCTCGATCGCCTCGCCGAGGAGCGGCAGGCCGTAGACCCCCGACGCTGTGATTCTCCCACAACGTCGACCCCCAGGGGTCTCGCCCCCTTTCCCGGGACCGGCTTCCCCTCCTGAGTCGTTTGATGACGGCCCCGAAGCTTGGCCAGGGCCCCCAGGGGCCGAAAATAGCGAAAAGCTTTGCGATTTTTGTTCCGAAGCGCGAGGGGGCCTGAGGATCGACTAGACATAAGAGTGACCCTTCGCCGGAGTGACCTTTGGTGCGGGCCCAATGATGTCCCCCGATCGCCGAACGCGATGCGATAGTGGCGCCCTGCGGGCCTGTGTGTTGGTCGCCCCGCGGCCCCCCAAAAAGCCGCGCACCAAAGGTCACTCTTACCCAGGGTCACTTTTGCGTGTAGCCGACATAAGCGTAAAACCTCGGAGGTCCGCGCGGAGTTCTCGGATCGGCGCTGGACCCCCCTCCCTGGCGCGCGGAGCGCGCCAGGGGCGGCGCCGGAGGCGCCGCCAGGGGGGTCCAGCGCGGATCCGAGAACTCCGCGCGGACCTTCGAGTCTTTTTTCTGTTTACGTCATTGCTCGTTCCCCTAATCCCGCTGCCCTTTCCCCGTCTTACCCTCTCCGAGAGGAGGAGGCACGGACCTCGGGAAGGAAGGCGGAGGGGGAGGAGGAGGAGGAGGAGGAGGAGGAGGAGGAGGAGGAGGAGGAGGAGGAGGAGGAGGAGGAGGAGGAGGAGGAGGAGGAGGAGGAGGAGGAGGAGGAGAAGGGGAGGAGGAGGAGGAGAGGAGGAGGAGGAGGAGGAGGAGGAGGAGGAGGAGGAGGAGGAGGGGAGGAGGAGGAGCAGGGGGAGGGGAGGAGAGGGAGCAGGGGGAGGAGGGGGAGGAGGGAGGAGGAGCAGGAGGAGGAGGAGGGGAGGAGGAGAGGAGGAGGAGGAGGAGGGAGGCGGAGGCGGAGGAGGAGGAGGAGGAGGAGGAGGAGGAGGAGGAGGAGGAGGAGGGAGAGCGTGCAGCCGAGAGGAGGAGGCACGGGCCTCGGGCAGGAGGGCGGCCGCGGCCGCCTTCCTTCCCGGGCGGCCCCCGCTCGACCCGCCGCGGGCCCGGGGGTGAGGCGCGCGGCCGGCGCTCCTGCGCCCCGCCGGCCCCCCCGGGGCTGCCGAGCGGCCAGCTTCCTCCTCCTCCTCCTCCTCCTCCTCCTCCTCCCTCCTCCCCCTCCTCCCCCTCCCCCTCCTCCTCCTCCTCCTCCTCGGACGTGTGCAGTTTTTTCTCGGCGAGAAGCATCGAGGAGCATCCTCGATCATGTGGCGAAAAAAAAAACCCACGCACGTGTGCATTTTTTTCGGGGGTGGACAGAACCCCCAACAGTGATACGTCGATTAGTGAATTGTCCGTTTTCGGTTCTCGAGAGGGCGCCGTGGCCGTTATTTTCCAGGCTTGCGCCCGCCAGGTTTGGGCCTCAGGTCGTTTTCACTAAACCACGTTTTACTAAAGGGGGGTCTGTCCATCCCCGATTTTTTCTCGGCGAGAAGCATCGAGGAGCATCCTCGATCATGTGGCGAGAAGCCCACGCACGAAGCCGGAAGAAAAAAACACAGTGAGAGGACGTCCGAGCGATGGCGAGGGCATGGGGCTGCTGCCCCGCATCCGTCAGGAGGGAAGAAAACACACAGACACAACTAATCGTGTCGGTTCCCCAGAAAGCATGGGAACACATGGGAAAAGTGGGGGGGAGACAAAAAGCCCAGAAAATATAGGAAAAGATGGGGGATCCTGCTATTTGTTTGTATTTCTGTGCGTGTCCCAGGGCCCCTTCAATCCCGGCCGGCCACGGCTGGGGGAAGCCTGCTTCGGGGACCCCCTCGCGTTGTGAAGAGATCGCGGCGGGAGGTGTCTCGCCATGTTCGGCCCCCAGGTGCCCTTCTCGGGCCCCGGGGCCGTCCAAGAACGACTTGGGAGGAGGAACCCGTCCCGGGGAAGGGGTCGAGACCTTTGGGGGTAAACGCTGTGAACAAGTCACGACGTCGGGGGTCTGGGAGCAGTGCGGTGACCACACCGTACGGTGAGTCAGTGGGGCTTCGGATGGACCGCACTGTTTAGGTACAGTGGAGGCCCATGCCAAGAAACACCTTGCTTGCCTCCAGGGTACCCTGGGTTTCTTGGGTTTCGATGGTCTTGCTTTGGAGAGCGCGACGTGCCCACAACAAAAATCAGTTGAGCGAGGGGGACAGGCGCCTCCTCCCCTCGCTCCCTCCCTTTGTGCCCCCCCTTCTGCCCTCCCTGCGCCCCGTGCCGCCCTTTCGCTGGTCCCCGCCCGACCCCCGCTGGCCCACCAGGCGTGCGTCAGCGGGACGGTGCAGCTGCCGCCCGACGGCAATCCGGTCTGACGCCGCACCCCGAGTCTCCTCCCCCTCCCCCACCCACTCCCCCTTCCCCTCCCCCTTCTTCCTCCTCATCCTCATCCTTCTCCTCCTCCTCCTCCTCCCCCGCCTCCTCCTTCTTCTCCTCCTCCTCCTCCTCCTCCTCCTCCTCCTCCTCTCCTCCTCCTCCTCCTCCTCCTTCTCCTCCTCCTCCCTCTCCTCCTCCTCCTCCTCCTCATCCTCCCCGTTGCCGCTCGTGGGGGGGGCCTCTGGACCCAGACCTCCAACGTTTCGAAAGAGTCCTGACGTCGTCGTTTCGCTGCCATCGGGCCGCTTCCTGGCTTCGGGGCTATGAAGAGACAACCTGGGGCGAAGAGAGCTGCCCCCAGGGAGGGCTCAAGGGATCCAGGGATTCCGCATTGAAATTAGCACGACGTCGGGGTCTGGGAGGCCTCCAGTGGGCGTCCGGAGTCGCGCCCGAAGTTCCTCACCGCTCCCAGCGCCCAAGGGCCGTGTCTACGCCCTGGGGCCATTCCAAAAATGCCTGAGACGAGAAGCGGGTTCTTGGGGAGGGCTTGAGAGTTCCAGGAGTTGCCAACCAGAAAAATCGAGCCGTGGGAAGCATGTTTCCCTGGGGCACCAGCAATGTCAAATAAAAGTGGAGTGCTCCAAAAACTAGGAACGCCAATAAAGTTCAGAGTTCTGGGAAGCGAGACAACTTGGAAAGCGGAGAAAATTGGGCAGGCTGGGAATGCTGAGAAAGTTGGGAAAGTCTGGAAGTTACAACACCTAAGAAACTTGGGCAGGCCCGTGATATACTCCCTCGCGACTCCCCTGTTCGGTGCCCAAATGCGCTGCCTGCTACATCTCTCGAGACATCCCCACGATCTGAGCGCGAACGGCCCAGTAACATACCCCCTGGCGGCTCCGCCTGGGGGGGCCGAAATGTTTTGCCTGCTACATCGCGGTGACCACGGAACTCTGAAGAGAGACTCGTCCATTGGGCCAAACGAGCGCCTCGCTCAAGACACCCCCGCAATCAGAGCGCGAACGGGCCAGTGATGTACCTTTTTTGAGCTCCTCCTTCGGATGCCCAAATTTTATGTATGCAGTTGCTGCATCGCGGTGATCACGAGCGAGCCTGAGGATGAGGATCGAGTATGATTGGGGCTGAGCAGGAGTAACAGAGTGTAGGCAAGTCTGGGTATGAGTCTGACTAATCGCGGTTCTGAATTTGAATGATCAGAGCGAAAGTGGCCCGTGCGTATATGTCCAAGCATGACTCAGCTGAGTACGAGTGGATATTCGCGTAAGTGTTCTGAGTATGATAAACTGAGTGTGGGGTGAGTCTGAGTTTGAATGAGTCAGAGTCTATGTGAGTCTGGATGTGAATGACACGAGTGTGAGCGGTCTGTGCCCAGGAGGGGAAGCAACACACAGACACAACGAATCGTCGATCCCAAGTGACATGTGGGAAAATATTGGAAGTGGGGGGAGGACGAAAAGCCAAAAAGTATGAGAAACATCGGGAATATTGGGATGTGTGCTCATGTGTAGATATGTGTGTATGCGTATGTGTGTATGTGTATGTGTGTATGTGTCTGTGTGTCTGTGTGCATGTGTGTATGTGTTTGTGTGTATGTGTATGTGTGTATGTGTATGTGCGTATGTGTGTATGTGCGTATGTGCGCATGTGCGTATGTGCGTGTGTGCATACGTGCGTACGTGCGTATGTGCGTATGTGCGTATGTGCGTGTGCGCGTATTTGCGTATGTGCGTATGTATGTGTGTATGTGTGCGGATGTGTATGTGTGGATGTGTGTGTTGTGTGCGTGTGCGTGTGCGTGTGCGTGTGTGTTATGCCAGTGCGTGTGTGTGTGTGGTGAGTGTGTGGTGTGTGTGGTGTGTGGTTTGTGTGTGCGTGCGTGCGTGTGTGCGTGGTTGCGTGCGTGTGTGCGTGGTTGCGTGCGTGTGTGCGTGCGTGTGTGCGTGTGTGCGTGCGTGTGTGCGTGCGTGTGTGCGTGGGTGCGTGCGTGCGGGTGTGTGGGTGTGAGTGTGCGTGTGTGTCTGTGGGTGTGCGCGTGCGTGTGTGCGTGCGTGCGTGTGTGTGTGTGTGCGCGCGTGTGTGTATGCGTGTGCGTATGCGTGTGTGTGTGTGTGCGTGTACGTGTGAGTGTGCGTGTGCGTGTGCGTGTGCGTGTGCGTGTGTGTGTGTGTGCGCGTGTGCGTGTGCGGGTGCGTGTGCGTGTGTGTGTGTGCGCGTGTTTGCGTGTGTGTGTTTGTGCGTGTGTGTGCGGGTGTGCGGGTGTGCGTCTGTGCGTCTGTGCGTCTGGACGTGTGTCCGTGTGCGTGAGCGTGTGTGTGTGCGTGTGTATGCGTGTGCGTGTGCGTGTGGGTGTGCGTGTGCTTGCGCGTGTGCGTGTGCGTGCGTGTGCGGGTGCGTGTGCGTGTGCGTGTGCGTGTGCGTGTAGGTGTGGGTGTGCGAGTGCGTTTGCGAGTGTGTGTGTGTGTGTGAGTGTGCGTGTGCGCGTGCGTGTGCGTGTGCGTGTACGTGTGGGTGTGGGTGTGTGGTGTGCGTGTGTGTGCGTGCGTGTGGTGTGTGTGAGCGTGCGTGTACGTGTGCGTGTGCGTGTACGTGTGGGTGTGGGTGTGGGTGTGTGGGTGTGTGTGTGTGTCTGTGTCTGTGTGTGGCTGTGTCTGTGTCTGTGTGTGTGTGTCTGTGCCCGTGTATGTGTCTTTGTGTGTTGTGTGGGTGTGGGTGTGTGTGTGTGTGCGGGTGCGTGCGTGGGCGTGTGTGTATGTGTGTGCGTCGGCGCGTGAGTGTGTGTGTGTGTGTGTGTGTTCGTGTGTGTGTGTGTTCGTGTGTTTGTGCGTGTGTGGGTGTGTGCGTGCGGGTGTGCGCTTCGGTGTGGTTGCGTGTGCGCGCGTGTGTGTGTGTGTGTGTGTGTGTGTGCGTGCGTGAGTGTGTGTGTGCGTGGGTCTGTGCGTGTGTGTGTGTATGTGTGCGCGCGTGTGTTCGAGCGTGTGTGTGTGTGCGTGTGTGTGTGTGTGTGCGTGTGTGCGTGTGCGTGTGTGCGCGTGTGCGTCGGCGTGTGCTGGTGTGTGCATGTGGCTGTGTGTCTGTGTGTCTGTGCGTCTGTGTATTTGTTTGTCTATGGTTCTGTGCGCCTGTGTGTGTGTCTGCGTGTCTGAGTGGTTGTGTGCCTGCGCGTCGGTGTGTCTGCGTGTCTGTGTGTCTGTGTGTCTGTGCGTGCGTGCGCGCGCGTGTGTGTGTGGGTGGTTGTGTGCGATCGGGCGGGCGCGTGTGTGTGGTTGTGGTTGTGTGTGCGTGTGGTTGTGGTTGAGGTTGTGGTTGTAGGTGTGGTTGTGTGTGTTTGCGTGTGGTTTTGGGTGTGCGTTCGCGGTTGTGTTCGTGTGTTTTGCGTGCGAGTGTTGATTGTGTTTGCGATTGAGATTGTGTGGTGTGGTGTGTTTGTGTGTGGGGTGATGTTTGTGTTTGTGAGTGCATCGTGTTTAGTATTGTGTGTGTGCGGGTTGAGTTTGTGTCCGTGGTTGTGTTTCCATGTGTGTTTGAAGTTGCGTTTGTGTGTATGGGTTTGCGGTTGTGCGTGTGGTTGTCGTTAAGTTCTTGTGTGTTGTGAGTGTGGTTGTGTTTGCGGTTATGTGTATGATTGCGGTTGGTTTGTGTGTGTGTATTTATGTGGGTGTATCGTGTGAGTGTGGTTGTGGTATGTGTGTTCGCTTGTGCGTGTGTGCGTGTGATTGGTATAGCGGTTGGTATTGTGAGTGGGAGTGTGTTGGTGTGTTCTGTTGTGTTTGTGTTTGTGTTTGTGTTCGTATAAGTGTTGGTTGTTGTGTCAATGGTTGTGTTTGTGTTGTGTGTGGGTGTGCCTGGGTGTGTCTGGGCGTGTGTGTTTGTATGGATATGTGCGGGTGTGTGTGAGTAAGTGTTGGTGTGTGTGTGGGTGTGCGTCGGTGTCTGTGTGTGTGGGGGGAGAGTATGTGGGAGTGTGTGGTTAGATGTGTGTGTGTGCGTGGGTGTGTGAAGGGGGTGTGGGTGGGTGTGTGTGTGTGGGTCTGTGTGGGGGGAGGGGTATTTAGGTGTGTGTGGGTGTGTGTGTTGTGTATGGTGTGATGTTGTCATTCCCTCTGCTCACTCCTGTATGCTGGCCAATTCGCTTTTCGGTGCCCCAGCCTAGCTCTTTCGCTGGTGCAGCCAACTCTGCCTCGCCGCCGACGAAAAAAGTGCGGTGTGTTGTTGTGCGTGGGTTGTGTCTTGTGTGTTGTGTGTGGTGCGTGTGCGGTTGGGTGTATGAGAATGGCTTGAGTGCGATTGAGACCGAGCGCGATTGAGTCTGAGTGCGAGTGGGTGGGTAGGTCTGAGTGTGGAAGGAAAAGGCGGGAATGTGACAAGGTGGTTGGCAACAAGAACCCGATACTGGGATATGGGGAAAGAGTGAGCGAACGGGTTGAAGCTAGTTAGAGAAAGGCAACCATGTTCCCACTGCCCCCTGGCGGCCAGCACTAGACCAGTTATGTGGCACTTCGCCCGCCTCGATGATGAGTAATATGCAAGCATATCTGCGGGCGGCGTGCCATTATTTATGTGGCAGTGCCACGTTTCGCGTGGAGGTCTGCGGCTCAAATCAGGGAGTGCGCACGTGCGTGCGAGCATCGCCAAAAGCGTATGGTGATTGCGTGGGAGGTAAGGAAGGAAAAGAGAGAGGGAGAGATGGGGAGTGCGCAGCAAGCGCTTTTCCCGTTGACCGCATTCCTGACGGATCTCCGATTCGCCGATCGGAGTCAGGCCAGAATCAGGTTCGATGTTTGCCCATAGTGGACCAGCTCAAATGAGTCTCACAATTTGAAATGATCAAGCCCCGAGCGTAGCGATTCACAAACATGATATTCAGAACGACCAGACGCATTGATAATGTGACGAGGGACGAGGACATGAGGAAGTGTAGGCAGCGACGGGTCAGGGGGCGGATCCCCCCCCTGCGTTTTGAAGTATTATGTTTTGTGGGAGGCGGAGCGCGTCGTTTGCTTGCTGCTGGCATCGGCGCGGTATACCCGCTGTGCTTTTCCTCGGCGTTGCCTCCCCTCTCTTCTCTCTCTCTCTCTCTATCTCTCTCTCCCTCTCTCTATATATGTGTATATTATTTTTTATATCTATATATATATATGTATATATATGTATATATATATATATGTATCCATCGCTCCGCCGTCCTCCGCCCAGACCTACGCCTAAGCATAGCCTAAGCCTCAGCCCAGCCTGTCCTAAGCCCCAGCCAAAATTCAGCCTCAGCTTAGCCGAAGCCTCAGCTCCAGCCTCTGCCTCTGCCTCAGCCAAGCCCAAGCCTGGCCCAAGCCTCAGCCTGGCCTCCGAACCCGGCAGCGACAAGAGAACAAGGGGAGCGATGAGGAGGGGAGCGCTGAGGAGGGGAGCAAGAGGGGGGATGAGAGAGAAGTTGATCGAGGACGCGGGAAGAAGCAAGGGAGGAAGGAGATTCCCTCCTGAAGGTCATCCTGCTGGCAGAGCACCAAGCAACCGGTGGCTACAAAGTGCCCGCGGTGGTCATCCAGGCTGACCTCTGGAAGGTCAGCTTGGGCAAGCAGCGGGTGCTTGCACGAAGGGCAGGAGCAAGGGAAGGTAGGAGGAGGGCGGCGCAGTGATGAGGGAGGTAGATCCGCATTTGCCCTGGCCTGCCTTCTGTATGCCAGCTTCCAGCACGCACACACACACACACATGCTCACACTTCCTCTTCGGCCGTCTCGGGGGCCCCTTGGAACCCTTGTGGCCCGCACGGGCGCCTTCGGGCCTCCCGTGGAACGCCTTGGGAGCCATGCGAACAGCCCCAGGAGATCCTGCAACTGGGGCCTTGGGCCTTTCTACCCAAACAGTGCTTGCACTTAGGGGTTGTTACTTGCGTCCTCCTCCTCCTCCTCCTCCTCCTCCTCCTCCTCCTCCTCCTCCGCCTTCTCCTCCTCCTCCTCCTCCACTGGATGGGTGTCCCGAGGAATCGCCGCGTTCCGGCCTGTTGCCGCGCGCTGTTGCTTGTGAGGTCCCCAACGGATTCGCCACGGTCTGGCCCGTTGTCGCCAGCTGCCGCCTGCGGGGGGTGTCCCGAGGACGCACCATGTTCCAGCCCGCCACTGCCCGTTGCCAGCCGTTGCTGCCCGTGGGGGTGTCCCGGGGATGCGTATTTGCTCTCAGGAGAGAAACCGCAGAGACGTTTGCACATCACAGCGCTTGCACGTACACAGTGCCATAACTTATTGTTCGGGGTCCACGCGGGCAAGCGCGAAAGATTATCCCAGTCCCCGATACAGAAGACTCGAAGGGCCTGGGGGGCATTCGGTGCTGGTGATGCTGAAGAGGAAGTGCCTGCGCGCAGAATTTGACGAGGGTGGCGATTTCGACGATGACGAAAATGACAGCAGGGGCGACGATCCCGATGATGGTGATTATGATGATGAGTATGATGCTCACGACTGCAATTATGAGTAACGCTGGCAATGATGATGCTGACGATGGTGACAGCGATTGTGCTGATGAGGGTGATGGGAAGCTGCGTGATCGCGAACATCCAGACACCCTGACACGGTTCCGGAATTTCGTATCCGATCTGTTCGATGCGAGTAATGTTTGAAGAATTCGGTTCATCAACTCCAACGCTCGAGCAATCATCCCATCAACCCACCCTGCAACTGGTTGTCAAGTCTTACTGGCGCGATGATGCGAGGGTCCATCGTCATGCAGACCCACGACTGAGGTGGACGAGGGATGATGGCGACGGCGACACGGCAACGACGACGGTGATGATGCATGATGGTAATGGTGGTGGCGACGACGACGAGGGCGACGATATCGATGATGATGACGACGGTGGTGATGACGATGACGTTGGTGATGGCAATGAAGGTGATAGCGATGATGATGACGGTGGCAATGATGACGCTGGCGAATATGATGATGACGGTGCTGATGTGGGCGATGACGAAGTACACGCGCACATAAATTCTGAGATGCTGCTACTGAGAACCAGTTGCTTATTCCATATGTGCTTGAACGCATCTCACCGCCTGCACCCCGGGTTCCACCTGCTCCGGCCGCCTGAGGCCCCGCCTTCCTGTGCCCTGCCTCCTTAATTAAAGCTGCGCGTAGCCCGATTAGCTTTTAGCGGAAGAGACTCGCTCTCGCCCCGCAGACCAAAAGTGTTTGAACGCATCTATCTTGAAATGCTTAGAAATATTTTTACACTCATTCCGACATGGATTGATCTGTATTGGTTGACGGAATCTGCGGGTGCGCGATGATTGTTAAATAAGTTCGGCATGCATTTGCATGCGGCCCTCTCGGTCTGATGTGACGCGGAGTTTGCAACAGACACACAGACACAACAACAACAGCAACAACAACAACAGCAACAATTACTAGCACGTGGGGACACTCCGTTCTCACCAGTGCCAGGGTTTTCATAGGAGGCGGGCAATACCCCCACTTTGTGGGGGGGCCGGTTCAAGCTCTACCAAATTTCCAAACGACTCTTCGCCACCACCCACACCCAGCTTCCCGCCCTATGACGTTCGGACACTTCACTTCGTGGCATGCGGACGACCGTGGCTACTATTCAGGGCCCCGCGGCCGACGACGACGGCGTGCGCGCGCGAAGAAAAAACGAATGTGTCCCGCATGGTATTATTTGACAGGGATGATGGCCCTGGCAGGTGCGCAACCGTTGTCGCAGAAGTTCGAAAAAGTTGCTCGCAAAAGCCCGTTTGACAGAAATGTTTAAAAAGTGTTGGGTTTCCTACGAATCCGCAAGAGCGCGCGGGATGAGATTTTGACAATTTTTTGTTGAAAAACCATTGGTTTTTTGATGTTTTTATGTTAAAATCGCTGCGAACACTAAGGTTTTGGAAGGATTTCGTCTTGCGCGCGCGAATGTCCACTTTACCTTATTTTTTGCAAGGGATTCTTGAAATTTGATTATATTAGAACAAGAAATGTCATTTTCTATTGTTTTTTGCAAGGGAAAGCGGATTACAACAAAACAACCGGATCCTGTACACACCCTCTTTTCTGAGGCTTCCTCACGAAAATGATGAAAATGTAGCTGCGGCCTAGGCGGCGCAGGGGGGGCGCGCACCAGGGGGCCCAACAAGAATTATTCTTTAGAATAAATAATGTTCAACAGCAGCACCAGCAGCAACAACAACGACAAAACAATAAAAACACTAGCAAAAACGAAACATGTGTTGTGGTATCAGTGTCCGCGCGCGCATAAGCATCTAGGCACTTTTACTTGAACAGCAACACTTCTGGATATCTCTGTCTCAAAGTTCTCTGGAAGCTGGTGGTTCCAGACGAAGTTTGATATGTGCGCGCACGTGTGGCGCGCATGGTGTTATGTGCCACGGGTTCCTTGAAGATAATTTTGCAAGATCAAGGCGAGCATTCCGCATAGAGTTAATTCACAGGGAGTGCAGAGGGTCGATACAGGCGATTGGCTGAGATGGTGCGAACTCAGGTTGAAAATGGACAGCCGTTGCAAACTAGCATGAATAGCATCTACGCGGAGGCGGACCGCAAACCGGGCCTCCAGAGGGGGTGTCAAACCCAGACATGCGACGTCCTGATTTTTGTCAGGACGGCGTCCCTGGAAGTCCCGACCCTTTCCCCGGGACCGGTTTTCCGTCCCGGGTCGTTTTTTGACGGTTCCGAGGTTTGGCCAGGGCCCCCCAGGGCCGAAAATAACCAAAAATTACCCGTCCTGATGTTGTTGCGACGCGATCATGTCTGATCGCTGCTCTTTGTGGAAGGCGAGAGCCTACAGGGTTCAAACCAGCGGCGACCCGGGTCGGAGACTTCGTGCCAGCGAGCGAGGCGGCCGGGAGAGGGCTGGGGGGCAAGCCCACCCAAGCAGTGCAGAGAGAGAAAGTGAAGGCATTTGAGTGCAGGGTTTGCTCGGAAGAAAGGGAAAGAGAAAAATGCTAGCAACAAAAAACATAGGAAGGAAACAAAAAAACGGTTCCTCCTTCTCCCGCATCTCCTTCTCTTGGATGAAGCAGTGTTTTTCTTCCGGCCTAGCGAGCGGCACGCGCGCGAGTTATCACCATGCTGATGTGATTGTGCTCGTGGAAAAAATTGTTCCTCCGTCCTCCGATGGGAGACCTCCTCCATGGAGCCCCCGGTGTGCGATCTCTCGACACCATCCTGGGAACCACTGTTTCATCGTGGGCCTTGCCTTCGCGGCCCTGGGGCCTGACGTAGGCTTCCAAGAGGCCGACAAGGTTGCAACGTCGGCCCTCGCATCTTCTTCCGTGACGGAGGAGGCGGCGGCTTGGTGGCAGTGCGCAGCTTGCGCCCGCTTACGGCCTTTGCTTCCTGGAGCCCCCTGGCGCTGCACCTCGGAGATCTGATTCCCTGCGTGGTCGCGGCCATCCGTGTGGCACCCCCCGGCCACCCCCACCCACCCCTGACCGTGCCCTCCAACAGGGAACCGCCAGCTGCGACCCCAACTCGCATCCACATTGCCCTCCCCAGGCCTCTCTCGTCACGGAAACATCGTGGCCGCTTCGATCGGGGTTCGAGCCATTCTGGCTCACGACATGTTTGCCCGAACGAGTTCCTTGCCACAAAAGAAATTGTTGTAACAAATTGCGTGCGTTCGCGGCGTACGCGTGCCCTTGCATGGTTCATTAACCCGCCATGGGAAGAGCAGTTCATGAACAGTTCGGCAACATGCCGTCATCGCACATCGCAGAGCAACGTCGAAAAGTCAGATTGCTCATCGCGGGCCTTGCAGTCGGTGTTGCAGTCGCGATTGCTGCAGTAGCCCCGAGTCCGGCAGGTGTTGGCGCAGGAGCAGATACTGCAGCCGCGACTGCTGCAATGGCCCCAATTGTGGAAGGTATTGGCGCACGGGCACTTGGTAAGAAGAAACATGTTTGTGCAGCAACATCGAGTCGGAATTCCCAAAATAGAGCACCAAATTCAACACAGGCACACACACACACACATCTCAACTGAATGGCGACTTCATCTAAGAAGCCGCGCTTCCAGTCGGAGTCCAGTCGTGCTGGATGGTTCGCGTGTTTCGGCCAAGGTGCATTTGCATTGCGATAAGTTCAAGATTAGATGTGTTTTGGAAGCGCGCCTTCTCGAAGGCTCACAGGTCCAACTCAATTCTGCAAACTGCATTGGCTTTCAAAGTATGGAGACTATATGATGGCTGCGCATCTGGCATGCAAGACGGCGGGCCGCTACAAGCCATTCGTCCTAGATTTCTCGGAGTGCAAAAATCTAACCAATTTTGCATTTGCAGCGTTTGTGTACGAAGAAGAATGCAAACGGTGTCGTGGGCATGCAATGTGTTAACTATGAGCTTTCCACAGCAGCTGGAGCTCGATATAAGGTGCAAAATGTATTTAGCACATTGGCATATGCACTGGTGCCCCCTCTTGGGTGAAACGTTCGGTGGTGCGTGCGCACAGTGTCTACCATGACGGCCACTACGAAGAACGGCCATTCCACCTTGTACCATTTGCCGAGCTCATGTCCGTGGATTCATAAGTTCCACGCCAGACTCGAATCAAATGATGCCTTTGGGCAGAGGGAGCCATCCTTACAAGCGTTGTTGCAATAGCAACGTGCAGATACGTCACCACT